AAATACATCAAAGATAATGATACTTGTAAGTTTTCACTGGAGTCTTAAGTCAGGAGAAAGACCCAGGTTAAAGACAATGACTTAGTTATTATCTAGTTATTATCTAGGAAAAGCTTATGTAGGTAGAACTTTAGCTGATGGGGTAAGAGTAGAAACTCACAAGGAGTCAGTGGACATTTAGGAAGATGGCATGGTCATAGAGACCCATGCCAAAGCTTGAGCTGAAGGAGGAATCCTTCAGGAGGAATTCAATGGATCAGATCTATGGCAGATTATTCATGGCATATGATGGCATATGATGAAGCAGCTTCAGAGTGAAGTGAAGAGATATTTATTTCACTTAACTCTGATATTGAAAAACAGACTGAAGAGAAAGCAGAGCTTTTAGAAGTGTGTGTGTGCCTGGGTGTGCATGCACACACGTGTGCATGCGTTTATTTGAATATGTTTATTCAGGGAAGAGTCAGTATAATGGGAGAGACGATGCAAAAAAAAAAAAAGAGGGAATGACTGATGTGGAGAATTAAAGCTGCTATAAACAACAATAAATTGAAGTAAATAAGGTGAATAAAATATCACTTATTGTAGATCTGCTATATATTTAATACTTTCATATTTATTTCATGAAGTTCTAAAAATACCCTGTAAGGAAGTTTACATTTGCAGGTAAAGAAACTGAAGCTGAGAGAAAGCAAAGAGAGTGTCCAAGGATGCAGACTTGGTATTTGATGAAATCAGAATTCAAATCCAGAACTGGCTGAATCCTGAGGCCCTATGTGTAGAGAAAAATGGAAAATTTGGCAACCAAGTGAGGAGAGTTCAGGGAGTTTAACAGGATGTTTAGAGCTACAGAGTTAGGGTATTAAAACTGGGTTTGCAGACTTACAGAAGGGTAAAATTTTGTAATAGTCACTATGGTGCATTTAATTGGATTTTAGAAAGAGGTTGCTAAGTAGCTCCAAAAGCATAACTGAGGAATGAATTTGTAATGCATGCAGTCAAGTGCAGTTATGTGACATGTTCCAGGTTCTTTAGTTCTAACAGAACATCAATATTGAACAAAGGCCAGAATTCTAAAATGTATTGTAGGCTGGCCTATTACAAATATATACTGAAGGCAGCAGTTGGGATAATTTAGAATTCTCTAAAACCAAACTTAAAAGAAATCCTGAATATAGTGAGCATATGACCAATGATTTTATTTACATCCTGGGACCTAGTTAAGGCTATTATCAGATAAGTGAGATCAAACAAGCCCTTAAAGTTGACACTTACCTTCTGAGCCATCTTTGAGTAAATACATGCTGAGCACCTCCAGTGCCCCTAACAGTGGGAGGGAAGGGAGCCCATTACCCATTATCAGCTTCTAGGCTTATAAGAAAAAAAAAAAAAAAACTACCTTGGAAAGCAGGGTATGCTGGTATTTAGACTGAGTTAGTATATACTCATATATACTAAATTAAATGAACAATCTACTAAAGAACAAATAGTATATAAGCACCAAGTGAGCAATACTAAGACTGAGAGAGAAAGTCAACAACTTTTTGTTGAATCAGAGAGTATGTCTTAATCTGTGGCCAAAGTTTCAGATTATTTTCAATTTTGGGGGTATTTTTTAGTTAAAAGACAACTTTTCAGAGGACTGAGTTAATTGTCAATATCACTATTTCTTATTTGAAATAGTCTGGGATCTCCTCTAGAACTTTAAGTATATCGTGGCTCATGCTCGACTGTAGATTTAAATACCAACTCTTATTCTCTTGGTTCATCCACCTTTCATAGTAATTTTCTGAAGAGATGTTGGCAGAAAGTGAAAATAGAGTAATTTATTTGAAAGACCTTATGGATTTTAGAAATATATAGTATTATTTTTTATAACAGTCCTGAAAACATGAAAAGAAATGTAGGTGTTAACTACATAACATCCTCAAAACATGAAAGCTACCCATTCACAGCAAAGAGATTCTGCTTATAGACTGTGTATAAATTATTAACTTCTCAAAGGAAAAATGTCATGAAGAAATGTAAGAGATATGATATGAACCTTCTTCTCTGTTTTCTTTTTGTTATTCTTAAAATTGTTTATATTAAGATATGGAGGGTATTTTGTTTGTGAGTGCTTGAGAATGGTTCTCTCTCTTTTTTCCCCTGTGTTTTAAAAAATCACAATTGGCTTTTTCCTTCTACCCATTTTATTCAGAGATGGCCAAACATAGTGTGTTGTAATTCTTTCTGAAATCTTAAAATTAACAGTGTTTCACTGATGGGAGATTAAGAAGAATTGAATATATCAGTCAATTAGTTAGGGGCAAAATATGTTTGAATTTAAAAAAAAGTTCATTTCTTCTGTGCAGAAGTATGGTTCACTGGATTGTGAACCTCAAACCTGAAAGGGTATCAACTTCTTTCAACCATTCTGAAACAACAATTAATGGAAAGTTTGAACATGTACCTGACAATCTTAGATTTATCAGAATGTGATTATAACATTAAAGCTATATAAATATTATTAATGAAACAATAAAGTACTGTAGCAGCCTAATGAGACTGTATATTTTTTTCTCTATCAGTTAGATACTCTTAAAAGTCTTAGCTACCCTAATTTGAATGTAAAATTTCAACATGTGTTTATCAGGCATACTTTAACTAAGGAGATGAGACATTTGGATTTGTTTTAAGTAAAACTGAAAATTAGAAGAATCATCAGAAAAATAAATCAACAGGAAACACACTTTCTTGTGTGTCTCACAACCTAATAGATACGTTCCCATTTCCTTAACCGCACATTCATAAAAAGGTCTTTGGTAGCTTGAAAAATCATTGTACCTAATCATCCATAACCATAATATGCCCTTAGAAAACTACTGTCCCTTGCAACACTTATAGTCACTTCCTTACTGACATCAGAACACTCACCAAGTAATTGATCTATCCTACTTATAATGGCAATGTCTGCTATGGACATTCTGACAAAATGTTACAGCTCACAAAGAAACAAAATATGTAAGATCACTTAACAAGTTTCATAGCAAGGTTATCAAGTTTAACTTCAAATTAGAATGCAGCCATTATCAAAGAGTGAACAGTCACCTAAAGGCAATGACTACTATCAATGCTTATCTATGAACAGAATCTGTTCATTACGAATGAACAGCTCTCATGTGTTGAGAATGTTATCTAATTAACACCTATACTCCTTTCATGTTTTCAGTATTATTATAGATAATAATACCATAATGCCATCAACTTGTATCAGCGCTACTACTTGCAAGAGCAGAGGTATAAATATCCATGAGATGTGAGAGAAAAAGAATATTATTTCCCATCTCCATCACATCCTACCTTTGAACTTACATTCATATCTACTGTTATTATGATCTAGTATCATGTTATTTATGGGACACATGCAGTTTGCATGAGACTGCATCTGTTCAAAGCTGAGTCTTCACTGGAGAATGAGAAGTAGAAGGCTCACACTTTGAAAAAAAATCAGGGTTTATTTTAGAAAGTAACCCTCGATGCTAAAGACTTTCCAGGCTCTCTCTTTTTTTTTTTTTTTTTTTTTTTTGAGAGAGAGACGGAGACAAAGAACGCAGGATAATAAGCAAGGGAGAGGTAGAGGGAGAGCATCTTAAGCAGACAGAGCCCGATATGGGACTCAATCACATGACTGTGAGATCATGACCTGAGATGAAATAAGAGTTGGATGCTTAACTGACTGAGTCACCCAGGTACCCCTTTCACAGGAAATTTTAACTTAAGTCCACCAGTGGTTAAAAATTTGAGAATAAGGTTGTAGAGAATTGAGACAGGCAACCAAGATGTACTACAAAACCGTACTGTAGGCAATCACGCAAAGTTGAATTGATTCATTGACTTACCTGAGACAGATACTGTGATGCACTGGTCAATGACTATATAGAGTAGATAATTAGTAAAGTGAATGCACTCATCAGATATGTGAGAATCACTATCTAAAATATTTTCAGGAATAAAAATAATTCTTATTCATAATTTGAAGGACATGGAATAAAAATAAATACTTTAAAAAATTTTGTTACAAAACTTTATGTATTTATTTCTGTTTCTGTATTTTTTCAAATACAAGCGAAATACATCCTATTGTAATTCATTGTGAGTGATATCCACGCTATTCTGATAACTATTTTGTTATTTCTTAAAAGTGGGAAAAAGTTAGATTGGTTGTCATTTTACTCTCTGTAATCTACAAACATGATTAGTTTATGGAAGTCCAGTATTACATTGACTTAATCTAAGAATCAAAATGAATGCTAAAAAGACCAGAAGTTACTCATTGCATTTCAATGTTCTTTATTAACTGTTCATTGGCAATAAAGTTATTTATCTTCTGAGAGTCCAAAGACAAATTTTGACATATTCACCAAGACAATTATTGTCTTATATTTTCCAAAAAGCCATCAGAAGCATAATTCACTGTCCCAAGCAAAATGTACATAACATTTCTCTTGTTACAAGAGAAAATAATTGCTCTTCTAAAGCTGATTATGAAAACACAAAATGTGTTCCATGTACTAAGATAGTATCCCCTCCTTCAAAGTCTTCCCTTGGTTGTATTCTGGCTAAGTCTAGACTAATATCCTTCTGAAATTTGGGACTTTGACCTACATAATAAGGATGAGGGACTTAACAGAGAGAGAAAAGGAAGCACATATGAGAAACACATTTAGGTAACATGAGTTAACTTTTTATTGAGTAGACTTTTTGAATGACTTTTAAAATGCATTCTTTTAACCTATTAATTATTCATCTAATTTCATGTGCCTAAAAGTGTCTTACTTAGACTCTCAAATGAAAGAAAAAAGGCAACAGGGTTTCATTTCCTTCTCACCATCTAGTCTCCAAAATGGAACAGGCTGTACAGAAACCAGAAAGACAAGCTTTATAAAAGGGCTACACACACACACACACACTTATTTTATAAAGAGCATTCTAGAGGTAAAATGGAAAAAAAAACTTACTGAGAAGTCTTCGAAGATTTTCTTGAGCTCTCTGTGACCATGTCTTTCAGCGATATGTGCTGGATCTGAACCCTCCAAATTTTTCATCTTAGATGCCTGGGTTGCTCCTGAACACTGAAGCAAATGAATAGCTAAGTTCTTTAAACCAAATTTTGCTGCACAGTGGAGAAGAGTTGGAAGTTTTTTGAAATGAGTGTCTGTAAGCATAAGAGGTAAGAGGATTAATATGTTTTTTTTATCAAAGTTGGAATTCCATAAGAAAAAGTCAAAAACAATCTACTCCTAAAAGTAATTCTCACAAAGCAGAACAGACATTTAGTGTGATTTTGCATATAAGAAACCATCAGTGGCTTTAACAATGTAGCATCTCCTCCTTTCTATTTCTCATATTACAATAAATATAAACTAATATTCTCATTAGCATTAATGCCTCACTCTTACTTGTGGGGTACGTTTAATTTGGAAAGGCACACCAACCTCTTAAATATGAAACAAAACAACAAAATATCACATTGTAATAACTTCTTTTGAATTACTTTGTCATTAGGTAAATACTAAATAACAATATTAAATAGGTTCATCTATAAAACCTTTCTGTGTTTTCTACTGTCACTCCTGGTTTGCTTCCTTCTGAAGTTGAAATGGACACATAATTCCTGGAGGGGTTATATTAGATTCCTACATGAAATTTTTATTTCAAAATGGAACTGCAACAGAAAATACAGGTGAGCACTTTTATGAACATCTTCAGTATGGAAATTTCCATCAGGATTTTACAGCTTTTACATCAATGTTTTAGAATTTGAATTTCATAATTAGTTATTAGCTATCAATTAAAAATATTAATTATGCATCACTATAAGGTGGTGAATGTGAACCACTATCTCAGTGACAAAACACACACACAGATGAGTGATGGTTTTGTTATTAGTCTTTATTTTCACAACTAGCTAGAAAAAACGTGCTATAGCAATTACACACCAGCTTGCTTTAATAGTTGTGGCATTATTGGAAGCAAGCTATGTGAGGACTTATGGCAAGAGAAAAAGGTGTCAAAGCAAAAGTCAATTCTCTTCAATAGTGTTTTTGGAAAACTGGAGCTGGCCTCATTTACCTCTTTGCTATATCATAAACTAAAGGGAAACATAAGAAAAAGAGAGCAGAATTAGACTTTGAGTTTTCAATTCACGGGGGTGTCTCAGTTCATTTCACTGGGGTGTCAGAATAGTTTGTTGGTTTGCATGTTTTAACACAAAACAAAACAAAACAAAAACTTCCAGGATACATTAAGAACTTACTATAAGGAAATATTTTACCCTTGAAAATGTGTTAGAACTAAATGGCTATATGTAAATCTGTGGTTATATTTCACTGGTAAGTGTGCTGGTTCCTTGTTATATCACGTGTAGTGGGTTGAAATTTACCAAATATTTTATGAAGATGAGCTCGTGAAAGTTGAAACTGTCTAAGGTAGGTACCATTTTCGAAATGAAAAGTAGTACTTTTGAAATGAAAGTATTTCGAAATACTTTCTTAAAAAGGTACTAAGATATAATTTTTTATTTATTTTCATTAAAAGTTATTGTAAAATATAATTTTCTGCTACGATTAACCAGGGGAAAAATTAATGAAAAAAATATTTACATGATAACATCAGATTTTTACATGCCCTGGGTCATCTCTCTCACTGCCACTTCATACAATGAACAAAAAACATCATCACCTGCCAATCAATGCTTTATGCGTTATTCCTACACATTACTATTCTGGTGAACTTTTACATCATTGTCAATGCAGCTTAAAAGGTTACTTTCTTTCTTTTTAAAAAAATTTTTAATGCTTATTTATTTTTGAAGTAGAGAGAGACAGAGAGTGAGTGGTGGAGGGAGAGAGAGAAAGAGAGAGAGAGACAGAGACAGAGAGACAGAGAGAGAGAGGGAGACACAGAATCAGAAGGTGGCTCCAGTCTCTGAGCTGTCCACACAGAGCCGGAGGCCGGGCTTGGCTCACAAACTGTGAGATCATGACCCGAGCTGAAGTCAGACATTTAACTGACTAAACCATCCAGGTGCCCCTAAAATGTTATTTTCATTAAATAATTGTTTAATCATTGTAGGAATACAATCATCTTTTAACGTCCCAACCCCGTCAGTAAATCCCTTAAGTTTAAGGTAATATAATATTAAAAAACAACAACAAACTTCATTAAGAAACTCTCTGGTACATCATAAAGAGGAAGAGGTACTGTGACAAGTGGTCATGGGTTTTCAGGGTACCTTTCCTAACCACTATACTGAACCATGTTTTCTGATGCACAAATGGAAATGGCGGATTTAAGATTATAGTGATGATACTAAAGGATACTAGAGGTTTGAAGGTTGGCTTCCTTATTTTCCAATTCTTTACTTCATTTTTAGTGGTAGCTTAAAATCCATGAATCTACTAGAAAGCTGTTTGAAATTATAGACATGATACAGCCTTAGAGGGTATCTTTCTAGTTTCCTACCCAATAATAGAACTGTATTCCTAGAATCCATAAGAGATGATCTGGGCATTGCTTTCATACCACTAAGGGCAGAGTGCTCTTTACTTCTTAAGGCAGCCTGTGTCTTGGTTAGACAGCACTGATTATTGGACAATTATTACTTCTGTTGGGGTGAAATGTATTTTCTTTAAATTCTCATGGATTCGTATCCTTTGGGCAATATAGAATATGATAGCTACAAAAGCACAGGCTTAGGGTCAGTATTTACTATCTGAACTTTGTTGATAGCCTGCTGGGCTATTAATTATCTGAGCCGAGGCTTCTCTTCCAAATTCGTACAGTTATTGAGATAATTAAGTGACAACAGAAAAAGTGCTCAACAACATGTCTGAAACATAATAGGCATTCAATAAATATTAGTTTCCTCCCTTTCTCTTTACTGCATCAAATAGTTTAAAGCATCCTTGTCCTAATTCATCTTTGTTCCAACCTTAAAATCTCTGATTCTTTCCATTATCCCAAAGCACTAACCATCCTGAGAGCTTGACTCCAGAATAGTTGGCCCTTTACAAAATGATAAATCCATTTTAAACCTCCTTAAATAATCATTTACAACAATTCTTTTCATTATCTTGGATCAGATTATCTTGTCTGCTTATTTACATTAAGTAGCAAATGCTCAGCCTGCTAATATACACGGTCAATAACTAAAAAATTTCTAATTTAAGTTTTTCTTTAATTAAAGCATAACAGAGTTAAAGTTTCAAAGAATTGGAAATGATTCATAGGAGCTATGTTAGTTATTTTAATGTTAATTAAATCATGATCTTTACCATTATTTTTGTAGAACATCAAATTAAATATTCTCAGTATTGCATATATTATAGTTACATATATGTGAATAAAGATATTCATGTCAATAAAGGTATGATTATGCTGAGAATTAGTTCAGGTTTTTATGTACACTTTTGTAAATCATATCTTTTCTGTCTTTACGTTGCTTTGATTATTATGGGAATCTGAGACATGAATGGATTCCTCTGTATCTGAAATAGACCTGTCTGTAATCATGTAATCACTAATGTTTTTGTGTAAAGATATTTATGTTTCGAGAGCTTATTTTTTTTTCATAAAAGTATAATTTAAAGTTGCACTGATGAGTTTGATGAATTTTGACAGTCCTATACACCCGTATAACCACCACCCAAAATAAGCTAAAGAAGGCTTCTATTACCACAGCAAATTTTCACCTTTCCTCCTTGTTCCTTGTTCCAGAAAATTTTCTCCTTGTTTCTTTCTAGCCAATTCTCCACCTCGGAAGCAACTACTTTCTGATTTTTATCAACATAGATAAATTTTATTTCTTCTTGGATTTCCTAGAAGTGGAGTCATAGACACTTGTGTATTGCACTGTCTTCTGGCCTCCACTTCTGATGAGAAGTCAGAGATCATTCTTACAATTGTTTTCCTGTATGGAATGTGCTTTCTCCAGCACAAACTCCCCACCCTCTCCCCCTTCTTCCTTCAGCTACTTTTAAGATTTTATCTTTATTTTTCAGCAGTTTAACTATGGTATGTATATGTATGACATTTTTTGTATTTATTCTTTTAAAATAATTTTTTTAAAAAATAGTTACAAACAGAAAGGGAGGGAGGCAAACTATAAGAGACTCTTAAAGACAGAGAACAAACTGAGGGTTGATGAGGGAGTCGGGGAGAGGGGAAAATGGGTGATGGGTATTGAGGAGGACACTTGTTGGGATGAGCACTGGGCGTTGTATGTAAGCGATGAACCACGGGAATCTACCTCCAAAACCAAGAGCACATTTTACACACTGTACGTCAGCCAATTTGACAATAAATTATATTTTAAAAAAAGTAGTCTACATATTTTCCCTTTCCTTAATTAGCTGAACTAATGAAGAGGAACAATCCTAGATTATTTAAAATAATGAAATATTTAGTTCTCTGTGGAAGTGTTTTTGTATTGAAATTCAAATGAAACTGTGCTTCATGTAACACTGTACAAAGTAGATTATAGAAGAACTGGGGAGCTTTCTCTTGGTTCATGTCCATCCAAAAGATGTTAGAGATATGTACTGTAAAGCACTAAGAGAGTTGGTCTTTTCCTTAAAATTTCTGGGGTAAAAATTTTTCTGAAGCTCAAATAAATTAAGCATACTCTAAGATGACCTTGTATAAAAATTTAGGCACAAAAATTATTCTTTCAATTGCATTGGATAAAAATACATTGAGCAACTGGTTAAAAAACATTTTTAACTAAAAATTTACTCTTCCAAAAAATAAAATAAAACAATTTTTTTAATGTTTATTTTTTGAGAGAGAGGGAGAGAGAGAGCGCAAGCCAGAAAGGTTCAGAGAGACAAGGAGACACAGAATCTGAAGCAGGCTTTGGGCTATGAACTGTCAGCACAGACCCTGACGCAGGGCATGAACCCATGAACCATGAGATCGTGAACTGAGCTGAAGTCAGATGCATAACCTACTGAACCACCCAGGTGCCGCAACATTTTGGTATTTATCCTGCTTCGGGAGTGGGACGGTGACAAGGTTTATTGAATCTGTGGATTGATGTCATTCATCAGTTTTGGATCATTCTTGCCAATTATTTCTTCAAATATTTTTTTGCCTCATTCTCTGTCACCTTTACTTAAGAAATACAATTATACATGTATTAGATTATTTAATATC